ATAGACACTTATTATTATTATACATAACATTGATAGCATTTTTTTACTCGAAATTTCTTCATATGTACTGTAGTATCGTTTAGATAAATCTGATTAACTTTCTAGGAATCACCAAAAGCGGAAAACAGCTATTTTAACTTTCCTCGAAGTAGACAAAGAATGTATGGTAGTAGTATAAATTATTATTGTACATGATGTTATTTATTTAACATACTTTCTTCTTATTTATTATCCTAATTGTATAATGTGTTTCTAATAGAAAGATTTATCTTCAATTGAAAAAATCCACTTGTATATTGATGGCTTATTACATTACACGCTGTATTAAGGATGATAACTTGGAGTTGGTGAATAAATATGTGGCGAAGATTGTATTTATATATTTAATTATTTATACATTTACTGCGTACTGCTGATCTTATATTCTTAACCGTTTTACATAACATTGTTTTTTTTATATGCTATCTTATATTTTTAGATGATACATCAAGTTTCAACTAAGGAATTAGCAGATAAATACGAGGCGAAGATTACAATCTTATTAATTGTTTTACATGTTCATACTATACATGAAGTCAAAATGGTTAAATTATGTCATGTCACATGAGAACCAATGATCTAACTTAATGAAACATGGCTTATTAGAATAGTATTGTAAAGGTAATAATATAGTGTTTTAATGTTCATAATGATATACAGCAAACAAAAATATCTCATTAACTAGTGATTTAAATTTTATGAATTAGACACCTATTACTATTGAGAGAATTCGAATGGTAGTTGATTTTATTCAAAACAGCCAGATATTGGTAATTTCAGTTAATTTGATACGTTTTTTCTCATGATATGTATTACTTTATTAATAGCAATAAAAAATTATAATTCATACGGAATTTCCGTATCTATAGATCAAATACATGTAATTTCAGTTGATTTGATACGTTTTTTCTCATGATATGGAAAATTGCGAATTTCCGTATATTTTACAATTTTTTCCAGAATAATTCCGTATCTTTTATAATAATCATTTTCCATAGCAATAAAAATTGTAATTCATACGGAATTTCCGTATATAAATTTCTATAGATCAAATATACGTAATTTCAGTTAATTTGATACGTTTTTTAAATAAAACCTCATGTACGGAAAATTGCGAATTTCCGTATATTTTACAATTTTTTCCGGAATAATTCCGTATCTTTTACAATAATCATTTCATAGCAATAAAAATTATAATTCATATGGAATTTCCGTATGCAAATTTTTTATAGGGCTATACCACTGCAACAAAATTAGAAAGTATGGCGAGAGCCTCAAATTTATGGATTGTTACAGAAAAGTATTAACAGTACTATAGGCTGAATATATTGTAAAAAAATACAAGTCACATAGAAGGATTCCAGACAATGTGATTCTTTAATTGTGTCACATTATCTCAAAATTTTTTGACATCAATTTTGTAATGTAAGTAATAAAAAAAAAAATCAATTTTTTTGTGAATTTGAAACATTTTGCGCAGCATTTGATGGGTTATGTAAAGTGGCAAAAGCCCCTTTGACTGCTTAAAGCTTTGTTAATTTGGTCTCTTTACAAAACTCCCTAAACAGCCATATGTTTACAACAATTACTTTAACTCAAATAACAAAATGTGTCAACAACTTTAGTTAATAAATGTCTGCACCCTACATTTGGTTAACTGTTAACACCTTATACTTTTCCAAACAACTTTAACACATTAAAATTAATTCTTGTTTCTTCCCTAAGAACCACCTGTTGTTAACACTACACTAGTTGGCTTGGTCTAAAGACCTCCTAAATTTTGTGCAAATTTTAAAAGTATTTTCTGTCCTTCAATTTAAAAAAAATAGCTCATTAGTTGATAGAATAGGTCTTTAGTTTTAACGTAATAGAGACTTTCTCAAAAAAATTATTTGTTGTGGAATTCTATTCATCTTAAAACATGTACTTTACCATGCTCATGAGGAATTTGAGCGCTAGTATCATTGCTAAATTTAGACTAGTTTTCGACCAATATTACTAAATTTAGACTAATACTCGATCATCATATCTAAATTTGGCAGTAGGAAAAAATTTTTTAAACAAAAATCACATGAAGAACTTTTTTGAAAAATTTTGAATGAATCACGAAATCGCTATTTTTGAAATTTGGGCACGTGGCGTAATAATAGGAGTCTTTAGACCGAGCCAACCATAGTTAATCAACACTAATACCAAACCTCAGGGTTCTATAACACTCTGATAACCAAAACAATCAAACCCTAGTGACCACAAAGTGTTTTATGAAGTGAAAAAAGAATTATTTTTACAGAATAAATTATTTGCAAAGAAATAATTTAATATTTCTGCCTTTACTCTTATGAGCAAAGCTCTTAAATATCAAGTAATTATTTCATTACTAATTAATGTTAATTGATTAACCAGTTGTCTTTTCACTTGGTCAAAAAGTGAACTTATTCTATATTTCCTTTTCACTTAATGCCTTTAATAGACTAGAAGAATGCTGCGAAACTTTTTTTTTATAATTGGTAATATGATTTATGATAGCGACTTCATCAGTGTTGCTTGTTTTAAAGTTTCTATGTTATTATTTGAATTATTGTAATTAATATTGAATATCCAAGTTGCATTGAATGGTTGAATAACAAATACAGAGGGTTCTTGTATAGAGAGAGAAAATCATTATCAAATTGGTGTTCTTATATGGAGATATGACTAGTAATTTATTGTAAATTTATTTTCAAGTTTGATAAATAAAAGACTTTATTCTTGGAGGTAAGCATTAATTTTTCATTATGCAGAAAGTTTTTATATTAGAATATAAAATTCAAAATAGATATATCAATAAAAAAATAAAGGCGAAAAAATTTTAACATGGAATTAAATATATAAAACCTTATGATTGTGCATTAATAAAATCATGTCATTAGGCACTTTAATTGATTCATGAATGCTATTATTTTGGTTTATGATAAAAAATCATTATTTTTCAAAATTAATATAATTTTTGTAATATTAAATTTCCCCCGTATTTATTTAGAACTATAACTCCGTAACTATTACTGTTTAAAATAAATAATAAAAGTATGTAGTATCAGAAATAACGGGATTAAAAATGGTACAATTATTTAACTTATATGTTTACCTAAGTGATATTGATTTGAGTTCTTGTAACCTTAAGAATGACGGTTTAAAATTTTAGCCAGGTCATTGTGCAGCCTCAACTTTTACAGAGCAAGATGTTGTAAGATGGTGTTATAAACGAAGCGCGTACAAACACTCTAATTGTTGGATTGAAAAAAAATATAGATGTTTCTAAATACATCCAATAAATATAAACAATACATTGATCTCATCTCAAGATTTATATCGAATCTAGAACATTACAGAAGATGAAGTTACCTATTTGAATTTTGTGTCGTTCTATTAGTAAATTGGTAAGGTATGTATATATTTATTAAATTTTAAAAAAATTTATATTATTTTTATAATAATAAATAGACAAGTGTAAGTATGGGCTATAAAAATTAACTTTGGCCCTTCCGAACTTTATTTTTTTTGCAGATCTTTGCTAATGTTTTTTCCAAAAAATGTATAGTTCACCCAAAAAATCAAAAAACACGAAAATTTTTGACTATGATTTTAATTCTTCACCAATATCCTCACCAACATCAATATCCTCATCAGTGCCAATATCCTCATCAGTGCCAGTATCAGCAGCTGCACCAACAGCACCAACAACACTGTATTCTACTCAAGAACCAATCACTGATTTGTGGCAATTAAGAACTGCCTCTTCACGAAAAAGATTAGATGCAAGACCTATTTCAAATAATGCCTTAGAAAGGATTCAAGAAAAACGAAAAAGATATGGTTTTTTCACTGAAAAAAACATAGAAGAAGAAGAAGGGAGAAGATTTATGAATATGAATGACGCGTTGAATTCAAACGCAAACAAAGAAAATAATAACAGTACTGGTAGTAGTAACAGGAACAGCAATAATAACAATAGCAATGATATTTTTGATGAAATAATTGATAAAACGAGAAGGTAGAATATTTATAAATAGATATTAAAGTATAGTTAGTATATTATAAAAAAAAATTTTCAAGATTTTAATTCATTGGTTGACTATTTTCTAGATTTCTAGAGATGATTCCAAAAGTGTTTTTGTTTATTTTTATATATAAAATTTATCGTTTTTTATCATCTATAAGACAAGCAATTGACATTAAAGTCGATGAACATTCACAAGGTATTCATGGTTTTCTTGATTGTTATTGCTTAGCAACAACAACAACAATAATAATATTGTTTTTCTTCTAAAGAAATCAATCAATGCGTCAATTTATTAATTACAAGTCTATTAACTCAACCATTTAGAAATTGTTCAGTCAATGACTGAATGCTCTAAAAGTTACTATGTTAATAAATGCATACCTGGAGATAGGGTCCCTGCTTTAGAGATTGTTTGCTCTGAATGGGAAAAATATCTTTTTCATAAACTATATTATTATATATCTATAAAAAATTATTTAATTATAATCTTATTTATTGTTTATCTTTAACTTTTAAACTTTATCCTACCAATTACATGTATGAATAGAGATCCTACTGCAATTTCAAGGTAATTAATTATTGTTGTTGTTATTATTCCTGATTCTGATGTTTTTTCAATTCACCAAAATTTTCTATTAATTATATTATATATTATATAATTATTGTTAATATTATAACTTAATAGAGCATCAGTGTCTGTTGAAGCCGCCGGAGAAATAATTAATAGTTTAACTAATAAACTCTCTTATAAGACATTGGTAAACATGATGAAATAGACTTTCATATCATTAGTAATAATATATTACCAAAAATCAATAATATTATCTCTATTGACTTTGTATACTATACTTTATATCTATCTAGTTTTTTCTACTGGCAATTTTCTTCGCTGTATTCACTTCAAATTATATTGTTGAATTACTCAAAAAACAATTTCAAAACCTTGTTTCATATAACAATCATCATCCACCACCACAAACATATACATCACCACCACCACAAACATATTCATCTCCGCCACTGCGACAAACATATTCATCTCCGCCACTGCGACAAACATATTCATCCCCGCCGCCACAACAAACATATTCATCTCCACCACAACAAACATATTCATCTTCACCACAAGCATATACATCTCCATCACCATATGCTCGCCTACATTCAAATACACTAGACGCGTTAACATACTGAAATGATAACAGATTCTTTTTTCAACGGTTTGGATGGTCCCCTCAAAATAAACTTAATGTAATTATTTTTTGTTATAGCCTCTTTTTGTTATTATTATAGGATTAATAATCCTGTTTTTGGTTTGCAAAGTTATCATTATGTTTCAGGGATCAAATAGATCACCAACTGTTGAATCTCGTTATAACGAAGTGTAACCTAATTAAATACGTTATAACAAATTTTAAACATTTTGCTCCATATTAATATAAAATCCGTTATTATCATAATATTAATATTGACGTTAACCCATTACAACCAAGTACCAGTAATCCGTTAATTACTGGATAAGGTCTTAACGGGTCGTAATATAAAATTTTAGTGATCAACATTGGAAAAAAATTTACTTCAACCCCAATTTATTGTCCCACCAAATTTTGAAAATATTTGGGTGGTGTTTAATAAAAATGGAAGAAATCTTAAACTTGAGTTTTATTATTGAATTACTAAATTTGGAACATAGTTTTCTATTTTTGGATAATAAGATTGATTTTCTCTAAACTTCAACTTCAATAACACATACCCCACATAAAGCAATGCCCATATAAAAGCTTAAATTATTTTACATCTTCTCATCAATTTTCAAGACATCTACAACAAAATTGAAAGAAAACCTTTGAAATATAAATATGATGGATGCCATTTAAATAGTCATAACTTTACATAAAGAGTTCCTTTTGATATAAAAAAATATTCATTAGAAAGTTTTAATGGTGTAATGTTGTTAATGGACTGTTTGTAAAATTTCGGAATGATCTTCCATTGTGGTTTCCTAAAAAGCCGATTATCGGCTTAAAATTTTTTCGTGATACAGAAATCTTTCCAAGCAAAGAAATCTGTTTACTTAAATTAGAAAGATCTTCTAAAATTTAAATTTCGGACTGGCACATTTATAGACGATACATTTACTAGTGATCAATAACCAAAGAAAAAAATTATAATAAAAATGGAATGTAACTAACTATATAGTCCGAGATATAATTCCCATTTTTGAATATATTATCTCTAGTTTATGGGTACAGAGCAACTTTTTGGGAGGGACAAACACCAATGGCAATCAAAAATGGACATACTGCAGCAATCTTTGCTCAATATGTAAATTTATTTTTATTATGTATAATAAAAATAAAAGGCTCTCTGTACTCATAAACTAGAGGTATTATACTAACTACATTCAAAAATGAGAATGGTGTCTCCCTTTTCAATATTACAAAGGTTTGTATTATTATTGTTATTTCCTTTTTGTTGACCACCAAAAAAATACCTTACCTTATTTAACTCCCCCATTACCACACCTACCTCAGTTGCACTAAAAACCCTGCCCAATCAAACAGAGAACGGGTTTTTAGTGTACTCTGGGTAATATGGTAAGAATTTTGGAAACAATTCAGCATTTCAGAAGTTGCTTTTTAAAATCTCAAATTCTGAAATAGTTTCAGTTTTGCAAATTTGAAATATTTTGGTTTCTGTTAACATCTTTATTCTTATGCAATTAAATAATATGATTCTATTTAGTTATGATTAATGAAAGTACATCAATCAGATTATTTTTGTAAATATAAAAATTGATTTTGAAAAAAGAATATTTTGCTCAAGAATTTCTATTCAATCTTTCTTGATCTATATAAGAGAATGTATGCAACATGCCTGTCGCCTATAATTTTTTACAAGTCACATTAATAAATCATATATAACATAGAATGTTATTGGATATTAAAAATACATACCATTACCATTACCGCACAATTTTTGAATATCTTCTTTTTTGACAGTTGAAACCCTATCATCATCAAATTTGAGCCATTCATCAGCTAAACAAATATAAATAATAAATAATATTAATTAGAAGGTTAATAATTATAAAAAAATCACATTAAATTAACAAAATATAGTATTTATTACATACAATCATCATCTTTGCACACCCAAGCAACATAATGCCCTGTAGTATTTTTTTGTTTACATGCACATGTATACATATATTTAAAACAATATTTTTTTTTAAAAAAAAAGAAGAGATGAAAGAGAAAACAAACCAGAGTCAGCATCTTCTCCAATATGAGTCAAAACTGCACAAAGGTCATACAATCCTGTGAAATTGGATCCAACATCTTTTGCCAAATCTGGATCAATTAATTTTTTAATTTCTTCAATTCTTGAATTGTCATTTTTTTTGATGTTGTCTATTTCTATTTGATCAGAATTTTTGGCAAGCTTTATCATTTGTTATAATAACAATAATAAGTAAATAATTAAATTTTAATAATAACATAATTTTATTTTCCATACAATCTATATAACTATTTTAATTCTCAACCTTAGCTTCTTCCCTTTCTTTTCTCAATTCAATTAGTTGATTCTTGACTGGCAATATCTTTTTCTTTAATTCATCTGTACAAAATTCTGTAACATCATACTCAAAAGGAAATAAAATCTTACGCGTGATTTTTATTCTCCTTTGTTGTTGACTTTTCCAAAAAAACCTTACAAAGTGAACTGTGAGATATGAAGGTAGACGACTAATATATGACTTTTTAGAATATTCAGCTTGTCGATTTAGTGTAGGTGATGTTTTTTGAAGTCTCTCATCTAATGCCTAATTTCAAAAGGAAATGTCTTCTTAAAAAAAACATACATAAACAAGTTTAAAATAAAAAATCATTTATATAATGTAATACCTGAACAATACCATGATTTAGGATATCAGTTGCTAATAAATGTTTTTTTTAAAAAAAAAAGTGAATTTTAATAATCATACAATTAATTAAAATACTTTTTTATACATACTTTTTTTAAAAAAAAAGAATACTTGCATGCAGAAATATGACAATTTAACTTTCTAAATGGCTCATGTAAAATAACAGGTTCTTCATTTAATGCTTCTTTATCTTTACATTTTAAACTAATAATTTTTATTGTATTAATTGAAAGTTTTCTTTAGTTAATTAATAGACTTACTTTAAATACTTACATACAAGTATATTCACCAGTCATATATTTTTCAACAAATGAAGCTTGTGTGCTAGAAGAAGTTGATGATCCTTCTTCTGCAGATATATTAGCAACATTTTGAAATATAGGAAGATTTATATCACTTAATGAAGACATAATCTGAGACCAGCATTCTTCAGCATCTTGTTGCATCAATCCAAAATAATTACGTTCTGCAAATTGAGGAAAGGCTTTTTGTAATGACTAAAAAAGATTATCAAAGAATTATATAAGATTATTTAAAAAATTAAATTTTTTAAATATTCAAAAAGAAATTCTTTTAGTAACTTGTAAAAATTTTCGTGGTGGATATCCTTCACTTGTCAAATTCAATTGGTTGTAAAGTTCACATAAAGACATGATCATGTTTCTTTGATTGTCTTGATCACCAATAGTAAGATTAGACCTTGGGATTATAATCTCATTAAAATTTTGTTTCAAGATTATTTGTGTTTGTCAATTGATATATATAATTGAAAAAAAGTTACCTATTAAGTGATTCTTGCAATTCTGGAATTACACGAAGGCATTGCAAAGTAGAATTCATATAACATGTATTCCCAAGATTTATCAAGCCAGATGGTAATTTTTTTAACTAAAATTTCAACATAAAATTAAAATTAAAAATTCCTTTGGTTATAAAATTACATGTGAAAAATGATATTAACATCAAGTCACATTGAATGAAAACATACACTCTCTGTTGGCATATCTTCAACAAATGGTATTTTTTGATATGGCTCTTCTGGAAATTCACTAATAGTTCCCACCATCTAAATCATGTTTCTTAATATTATTATTAACCATCCATTAATCATAAATCAAAGTTTTATTTATAATTTTATAATTTACCATAAATGTATATCCCTATTACATGTTAAATGGAAAAATCAAACATGTTTAGTATTTATTTTTTTAATCAAAATTCTTAAATCGAAATTTATAAATGTCCTTTTAACCTCTTCGATATCCAAAGTATTAAAATCAGTATCATCCTGTATTGGGGGGAGGAAGGTTTGTAAAAATAAATATTATCAATTTCTTTTTTTTTTTTAAAAAATAAGTAATAATGTCAGACCTTTAACAGCTCTCCTTTAAACAAAATTTTTTGTCTTTCTGGAAGTACTCCTAGCAATGTGTAAATCTGAATTTTAAACAATTCAACTGTCTCATTTGTGTCAATTTCTAACCCATACTCCTTTTCATTCCATTTAACATTAACTTAAATAAAAATATAAAAAGTAAGATATTTGAAAATTTTTGAATAAAGCTTTGAATTAATTATAATAAATAAACCTTTAAGCGACGGCATATTTGCGGATTAATAGTTACAGGTTGGACAAGTTGTGTGAAGGTAAGTTATATACAATGGTAAATTATTTGTGGAACTTAAGGATCAAGATTGTAGAGCATTTCCAACAAAAGCAACAAAAGAAAGGCCATCAAAATCAAGTTTTTTATGTCAAATCAAAAAATTTTTTTTTTGATGCGGTACCTATTATTATTACTATCTATATTAATATAAAGAAGGAATTAGAAAACCGTCTGTTGGACCATCCCCATTTTATCATTTGTACCACAAATTAATGTGTAATATAATTATTAAACGTTTACATCACCTTTCTGAACTTGCACCTCAGTAAAAAAAAACTTTAGCTATGATCCTATACTAATAATACATTTATAAAGTTAAAAAGAGTATCAAAATGAGATAATGATTCGATTCAATGGCTGCTACCAGCGTTGCAAGCCGGATGGATAACTGTAAGTCGCGGCTAGTCGGTTGGATTTTTTCCTGCCGCGATTTCAGTCGCGACTATATTTCAGCTGCGACTATATTTCAGCTGCGACTATATTTTAGCCGCGACTAGATTCAACTGCGACTAGATTTTATTTAGCCGCGACTAAACACACTTTCAAAAATCACCGGGATAAAATGTAGATCACTTAATATTAAGTCGCCGAACCTTTCATTAAAATACTCAAAAACTAGCACAAAACATTTCCTTTCATCTTAATAAAAAATTGTTTAGAATGTTCTAAAATGCAATTCATTATTAATTTTCACTATTTGTTTAAAACTTAGTTTTTGAGTAATTTTCCAAACGACTAAAACATTAAAAATTCACATATTATCACAAAAAAAAATTTAATGTAAGAATGTCTTACGAACAAAATAAATAAAAAGCTCGTAAAGAATTAACGGAGTTACATGCCTTTGAAATCATTATTATTATTATGTTAAGTAGAATTTTTGATATTTTCTTTCCATAGACCGTAAATAATATACCATGTTCAAAAAACCATTCTAAAAAAATCAGTTAATTATTGATATTTTTGAAAATGTTGAATTAAGTCATGATTATATCTAATTACAGTAATATTAATATTAAGGTTATAATTGTTTACAACTGAGATCCAGTCACGTCTAGGTATAAAATCTTTAGTCACGGCTATGACTAGTCGGCTAGCAACACCAAACACCAATTACACTAATTTGAAGCTATTGATTATTTCTTGGTAGACTTGTAAAGTAATCAAAACACACACAATACATAATTTTGAAAATTATATGACCGTTTAATAAAGCTCTCGCCAATGTTTTTCTTCATACAAAGCGTTATTTTAATTATTTTTAAAGGTTTCTAGACTGTCGATCATTACAGGATTTAGAAATTCCAAATTTGATAATATCCGTACTACGACAAAAATTGGCGCACGTGGTGTGACAAATCACGTATTTATTATTATTATAATAATAATATAAGAATAAAAAGTTTACGTGCCAGCAGCAATATTAATGCACAAATTTATATTTAAGTCTCTCTTTAATCATGCGAACGGTGATTACAGCAATTGTTTTTTTTTACAAAATGAACGATTATATTAAAACTACAGACTTTATAATATTAATTTTAATATCTATTATCATCACTAAATGTATAAATTATTCACAGAGATCTCAGGCTAAAAGAGGATCACGGGAAGATACTCTGGTTCGATTAGAAGTCAAGCCGCGTAAAAAAATAGAAAGGACACGAAAAATTGAAGAAAAGACAATAAATGGTATATACTTTATATAGTAAATAAATATTTTCAATATTCTTTTAATAGAATTATGTAACTAAAATAATAATAATAAAAAAAGAAAACAAAACCAAAAAAAAGAAATTAGAAAAATCAACATATAAAGGTAAATTTAAGGAAACCAAGACACCTCAAGAGGATGATGAATTGGTGAATTTACGTGAAAGAGGTTAAGATTAATTATTTTACAAATAAATTTATAAATATAAACATCTATTTCATTGCTAAAATCATTTTATCATCATCATCATCATCATCATCATCATCATCATCATCATCATCATCATCATCATTATTTGTTATTTTATCAAATTAGTAAGAATTCTTGAACTTGAGCTTAATTTGGAATCACAAAATAGTAAACAACTTAGTGCTAGACTGGCTAAAGTAACCTCTACAAATGAACTTGATTCGAAATATGCCGAACAATCATTTAAAAATATTTTGTACGAGGATCTTACTAATTTATTGATACAAAATGTAAAAATAAAATCTGCTGATGAATTTACACTTTCATGTTTTCAAAATGGTAAAAAAGGTGGTAAGTACCAATACTTATAAGATTATTAATTATTTAAATGGTATATATGTAAGCGTATTTTAAATGATTTTGCACTCTTAAAAATAGATTTAGTCTTTAAACTTTCAGCCACACCTGATTATCCAGGTAATTATGTGTTTTCTCCTTGTATTGATCCTACAAGAGATTCTATATTGTTGAAATCGTTGCCTCAATGTCTTCAAGAAGAAATTTTATTTTCAAAAGAGAAATCATTTGAATTCTACTGGAAACTTTTGCATGCTTTAAATTAGTTTGATTTTCATGAAATTTAAATAATAAATATTCTTCTTCTTTTGATCAATTAATTAAATAATTATCATAAAATATTAACATTATTAAACTAAACATCTTTATGAAAAATAATTTTTACTATAAAATAAATAAACAAATAAAGTTTTTAAATCTTGATTAAAATTTATTTCATATGTATATGTTTATTTATTTATTCATATGATTCCACCCACACTTTAAAAAATGTCATTTTAGTGATCAGTAATCATGTTAATGCATATATGCGTGCGTGATAAAAATAAGTGTCCTCTTTAATTATAAATTTGCTTGTCAATGAACAATTAAATAATCCCTGAAAGAACATTCTTTGAGAATTGATTGATTGATCAATCATTCAGATTTAAGTTTTAATAAATGTGGATCTTTAATTTTCCAGAATCTAAGCCAATAATTAAGTCTAATAACTAACAAATCTAAAGCCATGAACAAAGAATCTTTAATTAATGAAACTTTTGAACCATCAATTTCTTTCCAATTGACAGGTACTTCAATGATTGGTATTTTCAAATAATTTGCAATCAGTAAAACTTCTATGTCAAATATCCACCCCTCTACATGTAAATTAGTAAATATATGCAGTGTAGATTTACGTGTAAATAATTTAAAACCACATTGGGTATCCTTTATATTTCGAATACCCAATATGTATAATAATTTGTGAAATGAATGCATTAAAAAGTTTCTTATGAATGATCTCTAAAAACATATAAAAACACATACATATATATATTTACGTTAGAATCGAAATATTATCATATAATTAATTATCGATCATATTAATTTTAATTCCAAGAAAAAGTTACCTTTACTACGGCATCAGTATTTACTAGGTGAGATCTAGAACCAACACCAACACCAAAACCATCATCGTTCACAATTTTCTTTGTTCCTTTCTCCAAAATTTCTAAATCAGAAAATTTTGTTGCTCCATCTGCATCAGCAAATAAAACATATTTACCACTGGCTGATAACACACCCTAAATAATATATGTATATTGTTAACGAATGATTTCTTTAATTGATTCTTTGTTTATGACAAATCATTATAAACTTCTAACCTGAGTAACAGCACCACCCTTCTTTCTATTTTTTTCCAACCTTAAAACTTTCAAATCAATATTTAAATGTTTTTTGCCAATTTTCAAAGCAACATCTGTTGTATCATCTTGACTTCCATCATCAACCACCAAAATTTCATAACTAAAATTTTTGTCTGATACTCTTTTTTGTTCTAGAAATTCGATCGCTTCTTCCAACATTTCTGGTAAACGTTTTGATTCATTATATGCAGGTACCACCACCGATAATTCTACTGATGGATTGTCAAATATACTCTTGAGTTTTTGTGGTTTATCATGATGTGCTGACTGATAATACTTTTCAGAATTTAATGGTTTTCGTGGTTTTGGAGAGTAGAAGAGTATTAGAAAAGAGACAAACTATATAGAATAAAGCAATATTTTTTTCACAATATTGGTAATGATAATATTGTAAGAAATTTTATTAAAAGATGTCTTTGTTCTTTTTTCAAATCTAAAAAAAAAATTTGTTGATTTTTATCATACAAATGAATGAATCAAATGAAATGAAATTACAGTATCGAAATATTATATATATATCTACATATTTAATTAATCAAAAATTTTTTTTGATTAAAGAACTTACTGCAAAACCACAAATATTAATAAATATTGCAATATATAAAATAAATTCGAAATCCAACATTTTTTTAGCAAAAAGTTTTGTGTTCAATTCGTTTTGTTGATCATTAAAACCATGAGTTATTCCTACCTTCTCCCGTTATCTTATAAAGAGGATATAAAAGCTTGGTTAAAAGAAGATGTGCCATCTTTCGACTATGGAGGATTTGTTGTTGGGAATACTCTCGAAAATGCTATTCTATATGGAAAATCACCTGTAAATTGTAAATTAATTGATAAATACATTAAAAAAGACATTATTATTATTATCTTTTAATATTTTCACAATCGAAATTTGTTGGATTTAGGGTGTTTTAGCTGGTGTTCCCTTTTTCAATGAAGTTTTTAGTCAGTTAAATTGCAGGTTTTTAAATTGCTATTTCTCTTGATAAAAATTATTAAACATTCATAATAAAGTTTTAATGATGATGCGAAAAGTGTTGATTGGTTTTTGGAAGAAGGGGAATGTTTTGAACCAGTAAAAGAGATTGCTCATGTTACTGGTAGAGCGTGTGACATATTATTGGGTGAACGTACTGCATTAAATATTCTTGCGAGATGCAGCGGTATTGCAAGAAGGTTTAATTTATATTTATTATCAATCGATCTTGAAGATTTATATATATACTGACTAATATGTAAAAATTTAATAGAAGTAAAAGATGTATAACTCTCAAGGAAACACATAAATTTCAAGGAATAATTGCAGGAACTAGAAAGACAACACCAGGTAATGATAACAATGATAACAATAAATAGCTACCATTATAATATATATATATATATAAAATTGATTTAGAATAGTATTTTTAAAGGTTTTCGATTGGTTGAAAAATATGGCATGTTAGTTGGAGGTGTTGATACTCATCGCATGGATCTTTCTTCCATGATAATGTTAAAAGATAATCACGTTTGGAGTCAAGGTGAATTTTGATAAAGTAAAAAAGTTTTTATTAATAAAGGTTTTGGTTAATAAACACGATGTTATATAATTTAGGTTCAATAACAAAGGCTGTTCTGAAGGCAAGAGAAGTTGGTGGATTCTCACTTAAGATTGAGGTTGAATGTAGAACAGAAGAGGAGGCAAATGAAGCAATTCAAGTTGGTGCTGATATTATTATGCTTGACAATTTAAAAGGGGACGATTTGAAATCTACAGCTAAATCTTTGAAAGAAAAATGGACTGGAAAATCTTTTTTATTAGAATCTAGTGGTGGTATTACTGAACATAATATTACTGATTATTTTTGCCCTGGTAACTATTGATTATTTTTTTTTCTATTTAAAATTTTTTCATAATTTAAAATCTATATATTTAAAAAAATTATAGATATTGATGTTTTAAGTCTGGGAAGTTTATCTCAAGGAGTTCCTCATGTTGATTTCTCACTAAAAATTAAAAAGCCATCGATATAAAATATCAATCCATTTGACATATTTAAAAACAATTATGTTGTTGATGTTGAAATTAACAGTTTATTGTTAACAATTTATTATTTTTAAATATGATTGGACCCTGAAAAAATTTGATGGGTTAATTTTTGCATTTCAGGTGTAAATATCAATAAAGTTCTTCAATCTGTAATGAATTTATTTAACTTTTGATGTAAACAAGGTTCCTTGATCCTTTGTATGTGACCAGTGGTATATACTAAAATCAAAGAAAGTAAACGAGTAACTGCATGAAAAATTGTCAAATGTCAAAAATAAAACTTTTTGGGTACCATTGGAGAAATTTGTTGTAACCACCAAAACTCGAGAAGTGATTATCAAGATCAATAATAGTTTTGATTTCGCTATTGGATATTTTATAGATGCATGAATTGACTACAGACACATATTTTAAGTTTCTAGCACCATAAATAATGTCCATTTCACATTTGAAAAGCTTTTCTCCAAGTTGATTTTCATTTTTTTACATGTAAGAAACTTTACGATAGCTGTATTTCGTTTGAAAGCAATTCAGGAGTAGAACACCCTAAAAGGCTATCCAAACCAAATCATTTCTGATCGTTAATTAAATTAATGTTATCATGTATGAATGTTCAATTATAGTAGGATTCAATTCGTAATTGCTGGTCATATTGAACTTAATTTGTTCTGATATCCTAATTCATTGATTCTTTCCTCATATTCAATTATGTAATTAACACGTTTTACTTGTTGGTTCAGACTTGCTCGATTGTTCTACTGTTCTTTCTAATTCTGTTGAAGGGGATGAGACAACAAACAGATGGTTGAAAATTTTTATTATTCAAAGAATTCCTACGCTGTTTATTTGAATTTGTATCAATAAGAGAACTATATATATTACTTCTCAAGAAAAACATCTTTAGCAATTGTTTGATTATTGATTATGACAACTGAATAATTTTCTAAAAAATTAACCAATCCAATAAAAACCAACTCTAGAAAATACTTGGCAATGAGCTCTGCACGTCCATCTTTTTTCTGGATCAGGTCCACGTGGCTTTCTGGATATTCATTTGCAACAAGAACTTCATACAAACATGATAAGATATTAACTGTAAAATTTGATTTCACAATAAAAGAAAATGGGACAAATATATATTTATATTAAATATTAATAATAACACATCAAGCCTGTTTTTTTTATACCTTGTTGAAATATGTTAAATAAAATATTATTCGTTTTTATTTGTTTTTTTGATAATCCACTACAAAGTTCTAAGCAAACATGTAAAACAAACAAACATAGCTCTATAACTTGTATTTCGTAAGCGAAGTAGAATCACAAATTTCTTTCAATATGTATCCAACTTTTTCGAAATCCTTCAAATCCGTGTAAACTTGAGCGCTAGCTCTAACATAAAACTTATCTGCATGTTTAAACGCCATAACGTAACAATTATATTTATTAAACATCAATTCGTGAAATTCTGATTCAAATATATTTGGTTTCCCATCATCGACTTTAATTGGAAGTCGAATGTTGACCATATGAGCAATTGATGATTCAGGACCTAATATTTCTGTATTAAGAATGGAAGCAATTAGTTTACCACCTTTAATAGCCAAATTCCTACAATACGACTGAATCTTATCTTCGCCACCAAGTTTTTTACGGAATGCTAAAGCATGATGAATTGTCAGATAAGAGCTAGAGGGAATTTTAATATAAATAAAAAAGTCATTAATACTGTATGTGTGAATAAAAAAAATTTTTTAATTTGAAAAAAAATAAAATCGTCATCATACCTAAAGTCTTGCGTACCAACCCAAGAAAATTCCTTAACAAATCCACTATTACAAAGAGCACTAACAATAGGATGACGAATGTTTTTTTGATTTCTAAATGGCACATATAAAAGCGCAGATCCTCTAACAGTATATAACCATTTATGACAATTTGTTACGAAATAATCAGGATCAAATTCTTTAAGATCAAGAGGGATTTGACCTATTGCATGAGCACCATCTATCACGGAAATAATGTCATGTTTTCGAAGTATTTTAATAATCTTTTGAAAAGGAACAACGACACCTATAAATAAAAAACTTTTGATTGATTAAATAAATAAATTATTTGAAACTTTGCTTTTTAATTTATAGTATATTGTTTAACAAACCAGGTGTTGAAGAAATTGCATCAATGACCGCTAACTTAATTCTTGAATTTGGATTTTGTTTTTCTTCCTCAATACATTTTTCAATTTTAGAAATTAAATCTTCATCAGTTATTGGATAATTTACTTCCAATTCAATCAATTGCACCTTCCCATCATTATTATCTCTTGTAAAATACAATAATTCTCTTACAGAATTGTAAACGGTAGAAAGAAAAAGTAGCTAATTTGATTAAAATTTTATTTTATCATATTTTATTAGCAAATTAACATTTATGATCATTCACAAATCATATATAAACAAACCTTGTCTCCTTCTACATAAGTTAAGCTTTTCAATATAGCATTGATACCTGTTGTAGTATTTTGTATAAATACAACTTCATCTGTGTCTGCATTAACAAAATTTGCAATTGTTTCTCTAGCTTTGGTCAACTCAATTTCTAAATCTCGGCGCATCCATTGATCTGGTCTAAATTCAGACCTATCTTGAAATTCACGTAAAGCTTCTCTTACTGATTTAGGGTATGTGCCATATGAACCATGGTTAAGTGAAATGTATTTATCATCTAAAAGAAATTGCGAGCGAAGAGAACTTCCGAATTCCAAAGAATTTTCAAGCATATTACTAATTATAATTAAAATTTTTAGTATAACAATAAGAGGAGCACTAATATTATTTAATGTTAAAAGTTGAAAAAAAATTGTTGTGCAGATCAAGGAGCATAAACTACATACATACTTTTTTTTTATTATATACAATGAGGTAATGTCGCATAATTTTATAATTTTATTAATTGTCACACACAAAAAAAATGACTGCCCCCTAGTAAACTGATAAAGTTCACCATGGAACCAACCTTTCACCGTTATCTATCAAACCAGGCCCTAAAAGGTATTAAGATTTAACACCTGACATTCAGACGTAGATAAAAGCAAATAGTTATTACTCATTGTAATAATCCAACAGGAAGCCACCTGATACAATTGCATATTCTGTATCCTCAGAATCATTTGATAAATTGTTTGTATTTCTATTGAGACTAATAGAGGAGTTGTTAATAGAATTTTCATTGTATTTCTTTTTTGTTTTTTTTTTGTTTTTTAGTAATATTTAAAGAGATTTCTAATTAATCATTCCTTCACAAGATGCACTCAATGATTTTAAATATATATTGTTCATAATGATAGATGTAATTTTAGTAGTGATTTTAGTTTATGGTATAATTTTGTATTTTGTTGGTAATAAAAAAAGAAAAAATACCCTTGAGAATATGATAATTATTATTGTGTTTCTTATTATTATTCTTTGTTTCATGACGGATTTGTTGTTTTGAGGACAAGACCAGAAATGATTGAAATCTTTTTCATTGTGACAAAGAATACAATCCCAATGTTTATACAAATCTAGTCTTCTTTTTTTTAACAAGGAGCATAAACTAATTAAATTCGGCGATATGACTGATGATCTCGGCATGAAAAAGTAAAAATCCTCGACCTCCTATTGGTGCGCCACGCGCTCAAATTTCAAAAATTGCAATTTCGTGATTCGTTCAAAAAATGCAATAAAATTTTTTAAAAAAGGGTTACATGTGATTTTGGTTAAAATTACTGCCAAATTTAGTAAATTTAGGAATGATGATCAAAAACTAGTCTAAATTTAGCAATGATCCCTAGCGCTCAAATTTCTCATGAGCATAGTAAAGTACATGTTTTAAAAAAAGTAGAAACCTATTTTACCAACTAATGAGGCTATTTTTTTAAAAAGTAGGACAGAAAATGACTTCTATACTTTTAAAATTTGCCCAAAATTTAGGAGGTCTTTAGACCGAGCCAACTATATATTAATATGATATACTGTGTAACCGAACTCTACCCTTAAAGGCTACATGAAAATTTAATTTGTGTCAATTTTAAGAAGACCAATTATTTGTAAGTATTACAGTGACATGCACTGTATGAAATACAAATAACAGAATTTTTTAATAAAAAACAACCCAAGATAACTTTTAAAATGGATAACAATTTAAATCATGATAAAAATCAAGGTAGTGCTTTTATTAAAAAAATCTATGATGATGAATATTCAATGGAAGGATATACATTTTTTGGGAAATGTCAGAATTGCAATAGATATAATACTGATTCAAAATGGTGTCAATCGTGTGATCCAAAACTATTAACTGAAGGATGGACTAGTGGTAATGAAACACTAGATGAGTTGATTAAAAATACGCAACTTAAAGCAACTCAGTATAATAATTATTATTATCTTCAATGGATTCCTCATAACAATTTGACAAATATTGAAGAGATAGGTGATGGTGGTTTTTCAACTATATACAAAGCTACTTGGATAAATGGTTGGAAATATGCATATAATCATAAAAGAAGTAGTGAAAATTAAAGATGGGAACCGCAATTAGCCGCAATTCAATCTTCATATGCTGCAACCGCAACCGCAATTTAATTTTTATATGCTGCAATTAGTTGCAACTAATTGAGGAGCCATCTTTAGTGAAAATAGGATTGTGGCATTAAAAAAATTACATAATTTGCAAAATATTTCTCATGAATTTTTTAATGGGGTAAATTAATTTTTTTTTTGGACTTTTATACACTATTTATTATTATTGTTGAAATTAAAATATTTTTTTAGTTCAAAGATGATATAAAGTTTTACCATGAAGTAGATGTAATTCATATTTATGGATTAACACAAGATCCAATTACAAAAGACTATATGCTTATAATGGATTATAAAAAAAAAAATAGAAGTCTTCAAAATTATGATGAATATTTATATAAAAGAGAACAAAAATTTGGGAAATGTCAGACTTGCAATAGATATAATACTGATTCAAAATGGTGTCAATCATGTGATCCAAAACTATTAACTGAACGATGGACTAGTGGTAATGAAACACTAGATGAGTTGATCAAAAGTACACAACTTAAAGCAACTCAGTATGATAATTATTATTATCTTCGATGGATTCCACATAACAATTTGACAAATATTGAAGAGATAGGTGATGGTGGCTTTGAAACTATATACAAAGCTACTTGGATAGGTGGTTGGAAACATATAGACAAGGATAATAAAAGAATCAGTGAAGATGAAATTGTGACATTAAAAAAATTACATAATTCACAGAATATTTCTGATGAATTTCTTAATGAGGTAAATTATTTTTTTCAGATTTTTTAAACACTATCCATTATTGCTGAAATTAAATATAATTTTTTTTAGTTCAAGCTTCATGATAAAGAAGATATAATTAAAATTTATGGATCAACACAAGATCCAACTATATACAAAAGAATATATATTTGTAATGGATTATAAAAAAATAGAAGTCTTCAAAATTATCATGAATATTTATATAAAAGAGAACAAAAGTCAAATTTGTGATAGATATAATACTGATTCAAAATGGTGTCAATCATGTGATCCAAAACTATTAACTGTAGGATGGACTAGTGGTAATGAAACACTAGATGAGTTGATCAAAAGTACACAACTTAAAGCACCAAGTATGATAATTATTATTATCTTCAATGGATTCCACATAATGATTTGACAAATATTGAAAAGATAGGTGAAGGTGCTTTTTCAACTATATACAAAGCTACTTGGATAAATGATAATAAGTACATATATTCCAATAATGAAAGAGCTAGTGAAGATGAGATAGTGGCATTAAAAAAATTACATAATTCACAAAATATTTCTGATGAATTTCTTAATGAGGTAAATTATTTTTTTTATTTATTTTTTTCAGATTTTTAAACTTACTACATATGTAAACTTGATAAGTTGGTTTACTTGATAAGTCAGTCATATGAGCTCACCCCACATGACCGACTTATCAAGTTTTATGTATGTATTCATTATTATTGTTGGAATTAAATATATCTTTTCTTTTTTAGTTCAAAAATTATATTAAATTTCATGATAAAGAAGATATAATTAAAAATTTATGGATCAACACAAGATCCAATTACAAAAGAATATATATTTGTAATGAGATATATAAAAGATGGAAACCT